AATTGAATGAATTTGCACCATGGCCCCCTTGACACAGATAAAGTCACCCTATAGTCCACATCACAGGAGCCACAGCCCTTTAGGGGTCTATCAGGGACACAAACCAGCATGCAGTTACAGCAGCACGGGAGCACCGAGAAGGTTCAGATGTATTCATGGTGCAGGGTGGCACAAGCAGAGGGTGACTGACTCTGCCTGGCTGGGTGAGCAGGAAGTAGAGCAGGCTTGAGGTCTGAGCTGGGTTCTGCAGGGTGAGTGGGATTTGCAAGGCTGACCAGGTTGGCCTAGGGGTAGTGGTGGAAGAGCTGAAGGTTTCCGGGTAAAGGGAACAAGGAGCACACCCCACCACACTGTGAGTGTTCATGTGTTCACATTCAGGGAACCACCATGGATCTTCACTTGTAAGGGGAAGGGAGTGAGGGAACTAGAGCTGGAGTAGAGGGAGGGGCTGGATTAAGGGGCTCTGGGTGATGTGATAAAGGCTGTGTCCCAGAGGCCAGGGTCCCCCCGGTCCCCTCTCCTGGGACTTTGGAATCCTGATGTGGCCGGGCCCCTTCTCTGGATGAGAATCACTGGGCTGAGCTATACGGTTGATGGCCGTGTTATATTCAGAAGGTGTAGCAGCAGAACAAGGGTGGAGAACCTCCATGAGGTCACAGGGGGCCAGGGAAGGTCAAAGGGTCACACATCTGGAAGTGGTGTGGTCAGTGTGGGGGTACAGGAAGGACACTTGGGAGTGGATGAAGGATGGTCTGGAGCAGAGTCCAGGCCCAAACCTGGGACGAGTGTGGCATGATAACGGGAATGGGATGGGCTCTTTGGAGGACACGGTTTGGGAACTGGGGAACACAGATGTGGGGAGGATGGGAAGTCCTGACTTGGCTGTTGGGTTGCAGGTGGCACCCCCCGCCAGGCCAGGGAGGCGCAGGGGGGAGAGCTGGTAAGGCCCTCCTGAAACATGAGCCCCCCAACTTCTACAGCCACATGCTGAGAGAGCTTGACTTTTTGCTTTCAGTGCTTCTCCTGCCTGAAAGTACCCTCATGTTCTTGAACCCTCCCGAATCCCCAATTCTTGAAACTTCCAGCCCTCCTGCTCCATAAAACTATGGGTGACAGCAGTTCATTCACACTCAGAGCTGAAAGGGATGAGAGCTGAGACCCAGAGAGGGGAAGGGGCTTCGTGAGGTCAAGAACAAGTTAGAAACAGGGCCCGACCAGAGCTGGGCTTTCTCTTTCTCCTACAGATTCTTCCTACCTCCGCAGGGGGCAGGCCCGAAGGACAAGCTAATCCTATTTCTCAATGCAGGACCTTTGTCTGCCCAAGGTTTTATTTATTCATTCGTTCCTTTTGTCCCACTGCATCGCCCCCCTACTGCAGGTAACTTCTCCAGTGTATTTGATGTGCATCTTTTTGTGTGTGCTTGCCTCCCCAAAAGTATCTATAATAATAAAATTATAATATGTTAATTAGACCAGATATCCTTCTGGATGTCCTTCTGGACGAGTTTCTGGATGAAGCCCAGGTCCCAGGTGCCAGAGGGAAGCTGGTGCTGGCAGCCGGGCGAAGGAGGCCTACTCTTGCACAAATTGTGTGCATCAGGCCTCTAGTGTACAATATTTGTAGGCCTCATTTGAAGCATCCATCTTGTATAAAAACTGCTGTTTGAAATTTTAACCCTGCTATTTGGCTTCTGTAAATTAAACTTTCCCCAGACAAGGTTATCAGTGCTGGTGCCAGGGCCAGGCCTCTGGTTGAGATCTCAAGGCCCCAAGTACAGACTGGCTCTTTAAGAACTTGCAAAGGGCCGAAACCGGTTTGGCCCAGTGGTAGAACGTCGGTCTGTGGACTGAAAGGTCCCAGGTTCGATTCCAGTCAAGGGCATGTACATTGGTTGCGGGCACATCCCCGGTAGGGTGTGTGCAAGAGGCAGTTGGTCGATGTTTTTCTTTCTACAACGTTTCTAGCTCTCTATCTCTCTCCCTTCCTCTCTGTAAAAAATCAATAAAAAATATTAAAAAAAAAAAAAAAACTTGCAAAGGGGGGCCAGAAACACTCCATATTTGGGAGACAAAGAAGGTAAAATCATATAAATAGGGAGAATTCCTGCATGCTGGGGGCCAGAATTTGAGAGACATTTGCCTCTGGACCCACATGTAATAAATGTAACTCCATCTCTCTGGTACTGCACTGTTCTTCTTCAATTTTCTGTAACACATTCATGTCCCTCTGCTTATGTCCATCATCTGAACGGAAGCTGTCCATGGTGGGTGCCCCCGCCTGCCTCCTATCCACTTTGCCTAGACGAGTGCCAGCCTCCTCAGCTCCCACCAGCACCCCACTGGCATTGAGTGTCGTTCAGTGAGCTCCTGAGGAGGACTTTATTGGGGATCTTCTCCCCCACTTTGTCCTCATCACCCCATCATGGCCTATGAAACAAGTCGGGGGGACCCTGACACCAGCCGGCCCTCCCACCTCCAGATCCAGAGAGACTCCCATGAGGGAGGGGAGGGGGGCTTGGCAGAAGTCTGTCCCCACCCAGGACACAGGGCTCCAGTGGGTTCCCAGAGTCCCTGCTTGCTCTCTTCCCCCTCCGCCCACCGTCCATCCCTTCCTGGGATCTGCGCCGAGCCTTTCCCTCCCATGGGCCCATACAGCCCTTAGGCCAGGGGCGGACTCGTTCTTCGTTTGAGTCGGTACTTCAACATTTAACAAATGAAAAAATAGGGCCACCCCTCCAGCACACAGACTGCCCTAGGCTCGGGGCCTCCGCAGCACTCCGCTCGGAGGAAAGTGCCAAGGAAAGCTCAGCCAACTCGAAGGCTTTGCCCCAGCAGAGCCCCTTGTCAGGAGAATCGTCGCAGGTGACTTTGGAAGAACAGGTGCGGCGGCTGGGAAAGTTGTTGCTAATAGTTTCCAAGAGTCGTGTGTAATCCCTGGGACGCCCCGCCTCACCAGGGAGAAGCCTGTAGCTTCCCAAGATTTGGATCCCGGCTCTGACCATGGCTGTGTGTGACCTCAGGCTAATTCATGTCTGTGTGCCTCCGTCTCCACGTATGAAAACAGCAGAAATGACCTATTACTTATTTAACCTACTCCTCGTTCCTTGCCCAAAGGCGGAAGGAAAGGCAGGGGGCATGCTCCTCCCCCCTGCGGAAGGGTTACATAAGCTGATCTATGGAAAGCACCGGAACAGGGTATAGCACAAAGTAAATGCTGGCACACGTGCCTGCTGCCCTCAGGAAGCTGGTGCCAGGGCACTTGTACAGCATTCCTGGGTGGAAGGTGTGAACAAGCCCACTTTACAGATGGGAACACAGAGGTGTCAGGAGGTTAGGAGAGTCTCCCAGGGAGATGGAGTAGGAAGGGGTGGATTTGAACCCACCATCCTAAGGGACTCGCTATTCTAGGTCCAATCCACTTGATCTCAGAGCTGCCCACCTGGGAAGGAAACCTAAGGAAGTCAGATCGCCGACACCCCTGAGAGAGGTTCCAGGAGGAGGCCGGCAGCCCCTCCCTCCCGCGGACCTGGGCGCCCGCACCCACCTGGGACCGGCTCGCCCTGCTCAGGCTGCGCCCCGCTGGGCTGCAGGGACCGCGCGCCTGCTGCTCCTCAGAAGCCAACGCCGCCGCCACCTCCGGCCGCGCCTCGCCCAGCGGAGGCTGAATGCCCAGCGGGGGCGCCTTTGTGACGCGCCCGCTGCGGGCTCTGCTCATCCCTGCGGGGCGCAGGGCGCAGCCCCAGGGAGGCCTGGGCCACCCAGCGCGGCCCGCACAGTCCTTGCGCCCACGATCGGGAGGGCACCACGGGGAGGGGCGACGAGGCCGGAGGACCCCTGCCCTCCCGCCTCTGGACATGGAATGATAGGTTCTAACCCCGAACTCGGGGCGCAGTCCACGGCCCTTCCTGTCCTGACCCAGCCCCAGCCCCAGCCCCAGCCCCAGCGTCCTGCCAGGTCCAGAGAGACCCAGCTTAGGCACCTCTTCGTCAGAGTCCACCCCCAGGTGATCTGCAATGTTTTCCACTACCGCCCCCCCCCTCCCCCCATGGGACTCCCAAAGGAAACCCCGAAGCAACCCTGACCCACCCAAAGTTCGAGAAGTGCCCCCTTCCCAGCGGGGGGAGGGGGGCGGAGGGAGGACAGGGAGCACCTAACCCACCCCCTGTCCCTGCCCTTCCCTTCCAGGCCGGGGCTGGTGCCCAGCGTCACCCCAAAGGCCAGGCAGAAGGGCATCTCCAGGCTTTTCCCAGCCCCCTCCACAGACAGCCTTCACAGGCACCCTTTGGGCTCCAGTGAGCCGGGGGCCTGTGGGGGGCTCGGGGGCCTGTGGGGGGCTGGGGCAATGCTAACTCGAGGCCTGTCTTCTCCAAGGCTGCGGATGGACGGGCTGGAGAACACCCACACCAGGGCCCTCAGGCAGCTCTGCCTACAGCCCAGGCTCCCTTCTCTCTCCCTCCCCCCTTTCTTTCTTTCTGGCCCTGGCCCTCCTCTTTCCTGGGCCCCGTCTGGCCCTGCTGCCCACCGCTGCCCTCTCTTGGGAAGCCAGTGAGAATCCAAAGAAAGGTGAACGAGAAGCTTACAGGGAGGGTGTTTTTATTATTATTATTATTATTATTATTATTATCATTATTATTATTATTATTATTATTATTATTTTTCTTTATTGTTGCAAACATTACACGTCTCCCCCTTTAACTCTCCCAGCTCTCTCCTGCTTCCAGGCACAGGCCCTCACTTCCCTACTGTCTGTGCCCATTGGTTGTGTTTCTATGTATGCATGCAAGTCTTTTGGTTGATCTCTTACCCCTCTCCCCTCCCCTGCCTTCCCTCTGAGGGTGTTTTTATTCTTCAGGGAATATGCACATATCTCAGAACTCAACGGTAAAGGAAACAGTCCATTTAGAAAATGAGCAGAGGACACGAATAGACATTTCAGATGGCAAATTAGCAAATGAAAAGATATTCAACATTGTTATGGTAAATGCAATTTGAAATCACAGTAAGATACGACTACGTACTTATTAGAATAGTTAAAATTAGAAAAAAATGATGACGGTAATACCACACGCTGGCCAGAGAATGTGGGGAAATGATGATGGTCACTCCAATTGCTGGTGGGAATTTTAAGTGGACAAAGCTGGGGTCCCCCGACCTGTCCGGGCCGTGGGGCCCAGATGCTTGGTCAGAATTCTCAGGCTGAAGAGCTGGAGGCTTTTTTTCTCTCCTGGTTTTTCCATACCTCTTGGGCAAACCTACATCTCTGTCCAAAAAGAGGGAAACAGTTACAATCCAAACCCTTTCTTCCCCAGGAAAAACCCCCGAGGGATATAACCCTCCTCCCTTCCCAAGGAGAGGCTACCACGGAGAGTCAGCAGGGAGACCAGCGTGTCTTCTACATCAGCAGTACCTTTTCCTTCCCACATCTAGCTGGAGCTTCTGCCTTGTTTTTCTCTCCACGAAGCTAACCACCAGCATTTCTCCTACAGAAATGGATATAAAAAAAGTTGGACGTGTTTAAAGTTGGGGGTACTACTTCCTGGGGTACCCCTGGGTACTGCTCTCCCTAGTTCTCAGAGCACAAACCCTGAGCTACGGATGACAGAGAAACGGCATGGGGCCCAGTGAACTAGGAAGGGCCTAGTGTGTGTGTGTGTGTGTGTGTGTGTGTGTGTGGTGTTGGGTTGGGTCAATGTTTACTAAATGCCTATCATCATCAGTGGGGTGGATGGACAGATTGAAGAATACCTACACAAGGGACTCTTATGCAACCATTAAAAAAAAAAAAAGCCACATATTGACTTGGAGGGAGGAATGTCTTTGGGTGTTGCTAAATCATAACATTAAGTTGCAATGAAATACATATAATCGGACTCCAAATGTGTATGTTTGTATGTGGTTATGACCCATGCTGTTACCTTGTAATTATTTTTGTCTCAAGTAATATATTTTTATTTGCTAAATTTGGCCACCCTATTATAACCCTATTATATAAGGATGAAGGAATGTATGGAAGAAAACAACAAACTGTGGGAACTAAGAGAATGCGGCACCACCTCAACATAATAAAGGTCATACATAACAAATGCACAGCTAAGGCAGGAGAAACTAAAAGCGTTTCCCTTAAGATCAGGAACAAAACAGGGATGTCCACTTTTACCACTTCTGTTCGACATAGTACAGGAAGTCCTAGCCACAGAAATCAGATAAGAAGAAATAAACGATATACAAATTGGAAAGGAAGAAGTAAAACCATCATTTACAGATGACATGATACTGTATGAAGAAAACCCTAAGGATTCCACCCAAAAATTGCTACAACTGAACAATGAATTCAGTAAAGTAGCAGGATACAAAATAAATATCCAGAAATTGGTTGAATTTTTATATACCAACTAGAGGCCCCGTGCACAAAATTTTGTGCACTGGGGTGGGGGTCCCTCAGCCCAGCCTGTGCCCCCTTGCAGTCCGGGACCCCTGAAGGAAGCAAGCCTAAACCTCAGTTGGACATCCCTCTCGCAGTCCGGGATCCTCGCTCCTTACTGCCAGCCTGTAGCAAAGGTGGGAGAAGCTCCTGCCCCTGCCTCTGAGCTTGCCAGCTATGAGCCTGGCTTCTGGCTGAGTAGTGCTCTCCCTGTGAGAGCGCACTGACCACAGGGGGAGTTCCTGTGTTGAGCGTCTGCCCCCTGGTGGTCAGTGCACGTCATAGCGACTGGTCATTCTGCCTTCTGGTCAATTGGTATATTAGGGTTTTATTACATAGGCTAATGAACTATCAGAAAGAGAAACTAAGAAAACAATCCTATTTACAATTACATAAAAAAAATAAAATACCTAGGAATAAAATTAACCAAGCAGATAAAAGACTTGTACTCAGAAAATTATAAGATGCTGAAGAAAGAAATTAAAGAAGATACAAATAAATGGAAGCATATGCCATGCTCATGGATAGGAAGAATTAAAATGTCCATACTACCCAAAGCAATCTATAGATTCAATGCAATTCCTATCAAAATACCAATGGCGGTTTTTACAAAACTATTGATAGAACAAATAATCCAAAATTTTATGGAACCACAAAAGACCCCAAATAGCAACAACAATCTTGATAAAGAAGAACAAAGCCAGAGGTATCATGCTATCTAATAGCAAATTATACTAAGGTAATCAAAACAGCATGGCATTGACATAAAAACAGATACACAGATCAATGAACAGAATAGAGTGCCCAGAAAGGAACCCATGCCTTTAAAGTCAACTAATCTATGACCAAGGAGGCAAGAACGTAAAATGGGATAAAGACAGTCTATTCAATAAATGGGTTGGGAAAATGACAATTAAATGCGAAAAGAAGAAAGAAAGAAAAGAAACCACCTTCTTAACGCCGTATTAAGAAAAACCAAAAGTAAAGAATTAAATACTTAAGTGTAAGACTTGAAACCATAAAACTCCTAAAAGAAAACATAGGTAATAAAATCTGTGAGATTTCTCTTAGCAATGTTTCTCTCTCCCCCCTCCCCCGCCCCCGACATATTTCCTTGGGCAAGAAAAACAAACAAAAAAAATAAACAAGTGGGACTACATCAAACTAAAAAGCTTTTGCACAGTAAAGGAAACCACCAACAAGACAGTCTACGGAATGGGAGAAGATATTTGCCAATGATACATCTGATAAGGGGTTAATATACAAACAACATACCACTCAACATAAAAAACAACAACACACAAAACAACACACAAAAAAACCATCCAATAAAAAAAATGGGCAAAGGACCTGAATAAACACTTCTACAAAGAGAACATACAGATGGCTAATAAACATATGAAAAGATGCTCAACATCATTAATCATCAGAGAAATGCAAATTAAAACCACAGTGAGATACCATGTCACCTGTCAGAATGGCTATCATCAATAAATCAATAAATAACAAGTGTTGGTGAGGATGTAGAGGAAAGACAACCTTCCTGCACTGTTGGTGCAGCCACTATGGAAAACAGTGCAGAGATTCCTGGAAAAATAAAAAAATGGATCTGGCCTTAGCTGGTTTGGCTCAGTGGCTAGAGTGTTGGCCTGTGGACTGAAGGGTCCCAGGTTCGATTCTGGTCAAGGGCACGTACCCGAGTTGCAGGCTTGATCCCCAGCCAGTAGGGGGCATGCAGGAGGCAGCCAATTAATGATTCTCATCATTGATGTTTCTATCTCTCCTTCTCTTCTCCTCTCTGAAATCAATAAAAATATATTTAAAAAAAACATTAAAAAAAATGGATCTGCCTTAGGACCCAGCAATTTTACTTCTGGATATACCTCTGAAGAAACCCCAAACACTAATTCAAAAGAGTATATGCACCCCTATGTTCTCTTCTCTGAAGAGTTATTTACAATAGCCAAGATGGAAGCAATCCAAGTGCCCATCAATTGACAAGTGAATAAAAAAATGATGATGCCGTGTTCCATATGCAATAGAATACTACTCTTCCATAAGAAGGAAGGAAATCTTACCAGTTGGATCTGCATGCAAGGACCAAGGGGGTAGTATGCCAAGTGAAAGAAGTCAAACAGAGAAAGACAAATAGCACATGATATCACTTGTAGTGTGGCATCTCAAGAGCAAAATAAATGGAAAAACAAAACAGAAACAGACTCATAGATGCAGAGATCAGACTGACGGCTGCCAGAAGGGAGGAGCTTTTGAGGGCTGGGTCAAAAAGGGGCAGAGATTAAGAAGCGCAAATTGGTGATCACAAAACAGTCCCAGGAATGTATCACACAGCATAGGAAATACCGCCGATACTATTGTAATAACTATGTATGGTGCTAGGTGGGTACTAGGAATATTGGAGGCACCACTTTGTAAAGAATATGCCTATCCGCTATGCTGTACATCTGAAGATAATCCAAAATAACACTGAATGTAAACTGTAATTTTAAATTTTCAAAAAGAGAGACTGTGGCACTAATAACACTTCAGCAAGCATGAAATTCACCCGTCTTTGTAAAATGCTATGCTCATGTGCATATATAGATGCTTAAAGAAGTTAGAAAATAGAGATTTAAGTCTAACTTTTTGTAAGGAGGATAGATCCTATTAACTGAAAAAGGCAAGTGGTGGTGTGATAAGTACCAGAAGGTAATATCCAGGGAAAAGAAAGAATTCAAATCCCATATACGTTTGTTCAGGTTTGTGTGAGCCAGGCTGCTGGTGTTGGTATCTCAGGGCGTGGGACTGGGAAGAGGGGATGGGGGAGGGGAGTGGAAGGATTAGCTTTCTCTGCTTTATCTTTGTATGGTATTTGGATAGCATGTATTTTTAAAAACAAACAATTAAAGTTTTTTTTGTTTTTTGTTTTCTTAAGTGAAGCATCCAGTCTGGAGCTTAAGAGTGTAAGCTTCGGAACTCAATACACACGGATCCCAGGCTGGATCCTGCCACTCTCTAACTGTATAATCCTGGGAAATTATAACTCAGCCTGGTTTCCTAATTTGTAAAATACAAACAACATACCTGCCTATGATGTGTAACGAAGACTGACCGCGTGGAAAGAACTCTGCCTTGTAACTGGCACATATGGTTAACTACCTCGAATGCTGATTCTTACTATTACTAGAAAATCATTTGGAGGTAAAACTCGGGATACCGAGGATGCAAATCCTATCTGCTGGAGGCAAGATACCAACTGGTTTAGGATCTTGAACGAGGCTCTAATCTCCGTTGCCTTACCTAACACAGGAGAGAGCTGGACTGGAGGCCCTCTGTTTCACTCACTTACTCAACAGTTTAAGCATTTGGTGCAGTCAGCCCCTGGGCCAGAAACTGAGGACATGGAGATGAAAGAGCTGGCTCTGTCTTCCATGCAAATAAACCCGGTGGGAAGTGCCAGGAGAGAGTGGACTTGGGCACCCAGAGGAGGAGACAGAGAAGGGCCTTTCCAGTGGCAGGGTCTACACACATCCCGCAGCTCCTGGGTTTCTCTAAACCCTGTCCAGATGGTGTACAACCAGGTAAGGAGAGGACAGGGGCTGGTACCTGATGTCGGTTGAGGGTCGGCAGGGGAAGGAGGATATCACACTGAGGACATCTGTGCAGAACATCATAGGCTGGGTCGTCCACGACCGGGGGCTTGTGCTCGGGCCTCAGAGACAGATCCGGGGTTTTGTTTGTGCCACTCGCTGCTTTCTTTGTTGAATTTTCAGAAGGAAGAGGAACTCTGTTTATATTTTTCGTCTTTGGGCGAACATCTTTCACTGCGGCGGAAGTTTGATCTTCAGCAGCCTGACTTGAGAGGGACGGAGGAGAACTTCTCGTCTCTTCAACTGGAAAATATTTTGCAGACTCTGAGGTGGCATGGCATTTATCCTGCAATTGTGAGTAAGAGATCAAATTTTAAAATGACTTTGGCTTTAATGGCTGAACAGTACAGTAGACTAGATAACCTGGAAACTTTCCACCAGGAAACAGTTAGAAAGGCTGGATAAAACACAGCAAGCATTCTCTTAAGTTATAGCTGACTCTGTAAGAAAGGGAGAAAGCTCAGTGCCCAGGACGAAAACCTCACCCGTGAAGCACTTGGACTGACACTTTGGGAGATGTGGGGTCAATCTTGGATGAGAGAAAATTCCCATCCACACAAGGTGGGGAATTGAAAGTAAGACTCCCCTTTCCCAGAAGACAGTCCAGAACCTCAAAGGCTAAACTATGGTGGCAAAATAAATAAACAAACAAACAAATCAATCAATTAATCGGATAAGAAAAGTTGCAAGGAAGCTTGTCTACCTTGAGCTGGAGTTTGAGTGAGGGAAAGGAAAACTGATGCTCCGGGCAATTCAGAACCACAGGTCTAGGCCATCTTTGTGTTTGGGGCTCTGATTACATTAGTGTCATACTGTGAGAACACCCATGCAGAAGAATTAACCTACAAGTTGGAATGTATGGCAAGAGCAATAACAAAAGTTCTCTGGAGGGTATATAACTTCAAGCGTCATCGTACAGGATTCTCACAGGTAGAATCACTACACAGACACTCACAAGTAAGGCTTACAGACACAGAAGGAAGCAATCTACCTAAGCAAGAGTCAAACCCAAGCAAAACCAGGATTAGTCTCCAAGAAGTTCAGGTAATAAAACTATGGGATGCAGACTGTAAAATAAATGAATTAAAAATAAATAGAACAAGAGAAAATAATAAGATCCTATGAAAAAAGAGCAGGCAAATTTAAATGAGAAATAAATAGAACTAGAAATGAAAAATACAGACATTGAACTCAATGGATAGGCAAAAAACAGCAGAGTAGATAGATTTGAAGAAATCCCCCAGAATATAGGCATGATAAATAGAAAATGTGAAAAGTTTAGGAGACAAGCAGCTAGAATGAGAAGGCTTAATATACATCTGTTATGTTCCACAGGAAGAGTGGGGAGAACATGGGAGAGTTAGGGAATATTGGGGATCCAAAGAAATTAGAGCTTAGACTTTTTCTCAACTGATTAGAGAGATACATATTTAGATTCAGGTAGTGGAAATCCTGGGGAAGAGAGGAAAAAACCCACATTTGAGCACATTGTTCTGAGCGGTATGAGTAAGAATAGATCCTCTTTTAGATACATTGCAGTGAAATCTCAGAAGTTCAAAAGGTGAAGAGATCTTGAAATTGACCAAAGGAAAAAATATCTACAAAAGAATGACAATTCCATGGAAGGCAGACAATGACATGGAAAGATTATCAACAACAATCAAAGAGGTTGAAAGATGGTTGGAATGATCTTCAAAATGCTAAGAGGAAATAACAATTAATATCCAGCTAAACTACCATCCAAGAATGCAAAAAAAAAGAAGTACATTTTCAGGTAAGTAAAGATTTCCTACTCACAGTTTTTGCTGAAAGAACTATTGAGAAGTGTAGTCCAGGAAGAGAGAACTCTTCCCCAGAAGAAAAGCTTGGTATTCAAAGAATGTGAGCAAAGCAAAAGGTAAATATGTGAGTATGTCCAAACAGGCATGAATTACATAGAACACTAATAAGAATGACTAGAGAGGGGTAGTATGAAAACAAGGTGGAACTAAATTATTCTGGCAGCATCAGGTGAGAGTAGAACATTATAGTCAACAAGTTCTCAAATCCATATATTGTTTTTTTAGAAGGCTAGAGAATATGACTAATTTTAAACTTTAAGCCAGGTATTCATATTAAAATTTATGGGTATCTAGCAAATGATAGAAATAGAATGCAAAATTGCCAAATCAGTAGAAGAGAAGAAAGAACATTTGCTCAACCCAATAGAAGGCAAGAGAAGAAAAAGCAGCAGCAGCAGCAGTAAGGAATAAGCATCGCCCATGGCAAAAAAAAAAAAAAAAAAAAAAAAAAAAGGTAGAAAAGAATTATTTTAATATTGTTGAGAATGATGAAGGCATTGTTGTTAAGTAAGAAAATGACTATTTTTAAGATGTACATTAAAGGATGACGGATGAAATGATAGGCTATCTTGGGTTTATTTTAAAACACTTTTGAAAAATAAAAGAAAAGGGACAGATGAAACAATGTTGAAAACTTTTGATTGTTGGTATACCTGTGTGATGAGTGCCCAGGGGTTTATTATATTACTTCCCTACTTTCATATTTGTTTGAAAACTTTTGTAATATCATTAAAAACTATTTTTCGTTTCTAGTTCTACTTCTCATTTAAATTTGCCTATTGTTTTTTTTCCCTCCCCATAGGATCTTATTATTTTCCAGAAAGAGGTGAATTGAAGCGAATTGAAGAAGAGGGAGTGATGAACAGTGTTCTCCTCATAAAGGACTGAGGATGGACCATTGGATTTCACTATGTGAAGGTCATTGATTTTGATAAGGGAAGGTTCTTTTTGGGGAGGTACAGAAGCCAGGTTGGAGTGGGTATAAAAATGGGCAAAAGAAAGGAAGTCAATGAGTAGAGACAACTTGTTCAAACGTTTTGCTATAAAAGGAAACAAATAAAGAAGATGGTAGCTAACAGGAAATGAGATCAAGTATTTTTTGCTTTTCTGTTTTTGGATCATCTATATATATAAAAGCCTAATATGCAAATTGTCCCCAGGGGAGTTTGACTGGGAGACCGATGGCTCACTATGATGTGTGCTGACTACCAGGGGGCAGTGCAGAATGAAGGAAGGATCCAGCCGGCAGCTGCCAGCTGGGGAAGGGAGGCCCTGGCCAGCAACTGGAAGGCAGGTCCCTGCCAGCAGCTGATCCCAGGCCTAGGGACCCTACCTATGCATGAATTTTGTGCACTGGATCTCTGGTGTTAATATAAAGTGAAAGACTGAGAACCATAAAGCCTCCTGATGAACATACTGGAGTGAACAGTCTGAGACTCTGTTGCTACCTAATTGGGCAGCTCATTTCACCTCTCCCTGTTGCAGGAGAGAGAGGGGACAGTTGCTGGAGCAGTGGGACAATGATCTTGTATGGGGAAGAATGGGGTGCAGTACACCAGCCAGCATTAGATAGGAACGTAGAAAGCTCCTCTATGGTTAACAGGTGGAAAAGCAGAGTGTGCACGTGTGGAGGCTGGCATGAACGTATGTGTGGTGGTGAGTGGTCATGGATGTTTTCTTCTCATAAAGAAGTAGACGAACCATTATCCCCATTTCCCTCAAAAGAAGAGAGAGGCTCAGGGAAATTACACAACCAGTCAGTGGCAGAGCAGCACTACCACCCAGAGTTTCTGACCACAAAGCCAGTTCCACGTTTGAGAGTGAGTGCATGGGCTCCTAGGTTGCCAGTCCGGACATGTTGGAGGGAAGTAATCAGCTTCACCCTTGTTTTTGTACTCCCCAAGTATCTTCTGCGTCAAACACATGACACGGACCACTTAGGTAACTGAATAAGCATCCATGTTCAGGAAAACAAAAGCACAGGAGATTTCCACGTGCAGCTAAGGCTGAGGATCACTTGGCAGGGGCAATGCTGCTTAAACTTGAAATGCTGGTGATCTTGTGAAATAGCAGACTCTGAGCTGTCATTTCTAGGGGGAGGCCCAGAGATTTGGCACTTCTCACAAGCTCCCGGGGGGATGCTGCTATAGGTGGGCAATGGACCACACTTCACATAGCAAGGAGCTGAAAGGTGGCAATGACCCAAATGTCTATCAATAGATGAACGGATAAACAAACTGTAGTGTGATCGTGGAGACCACAAGAGGACGAAGTAACTGACACATGCTGTAACACCTTGGAAACATTATGCTGACAGAAAGACGCCGATCACATAAGACTACATATTATATGAATCCATAGAGACAGAGAGCAGATTAGTGGTTTCTAGAGACTATAAACAGGAAGGAGTAGGGAGTGACTGCTTTATGGGTAAAGGGTTCCTTTTGTGGGGGTGGTGCGAATGCTCTAGAACTAGATAGAGGCGATGGTTTCACAACATTGGGGATGTACTAAGTGTTGCTAATGATACGTTTTATATGTATTTTACAACAATAAGCAAAAAGATCTAGATCATCCTAGGGTTTTTTCCATTCTGATAGTCATAGATCTCTGAATTAAAGGGTTAAGAGAGGATTAACATTTTTCTGCTCAAGGAAAAGGAGATGCGTTTCTCAGAGAGAAACATAGGTAAGTTTCTCCAGAGAGAGAGAATGCTCTATCCTGCAGAAAAGGGGAATGACTTGACACCACCAATGTACCCACAGTGCTTAGAGGGAAGAATCTGTGAATGTTCCCAGGCAAAGCCAATCAACCATCCAATCAATCAATCAATCAATGAATCACATCACCACACCTCTACAAAGTCCCCCTTTGGTACCCAGCCCTCAGATCAGCTTCATGGTGGGAAGATGGAGAAAGTTGTTCACTTTTGTGAAGGAGCTCCCAGTCTGATAGACAAGACTCTTTCAAGGGACAGACAGTTACAAAGCAGGTCCCAGTGAGGGCATGTCCAGGCCCTGAGGTTGAAGATGCTCAGAGGTGACCAGGTAGCTGGACTGGTCAGGGAGGCTCCTTGGGAGTTGGCACACTTGGAGATGGGTTACATATGCTAAATTAGCCCAAAGTAATTTACAACATCCCTTTTTTGAGCAAAACCAGAAATGAATGAGGTCCTCTCATATCTTATGTAAAATTGGACCCAGAATACTATCCTTTTGGAAAACAGACAAGCTACGGTCACCATTGGAAAACGACTAATTGCTACTCACCATATGGTGTAAATACTTATTTCCTGGGATCATCTGGTTGCAATAATGACAGCAGATAGTGCTTTCGGGAGCTGAAATCTTCTTCCCTAATAAACACAGAAACAGCACCACAAATGATGGCTCTGGACAACGGCTAGCCCAGCTGTTCCACAAGTGCGTACATGGCCTGTGGCCACAAGTATGAGCCGTCCGGGCCCGTCCACCTACCCTGCACGGCCAGTTGCCCCACAGGCAACCCTTGGCCGAGCCATCCCCATCACCTTCTTTATGGCCGCAGTGGTGCGATCAGCGCGGCCCGTGACCCTGATGAAGAGACATTCTCCTGGTTTCTAAAGAGATGAGGGCGCCATTTGCGCAGATGCCAACCCCGTCCTGCCTGACTGCTCTTTCATTGCACCAGTTTCTGAGCTCTGGGCTTAGACTGGTGTCGTACAGATCTCTGTGGATCGTGTTGCGTGGTCTGGCTGCCGTTGCGCGGTGCTGATGGAGCTGTGTGGTGGTTTGAAAGTGCAGCTGGAATGAAGGGAATGCCCCTGAATTTGTACAAGCATCCCGGGCTTTCCTTTGCCATTGTCACCTTGAGTAGCTTGTTTACCGGGAGAGATGCACTGGACAGGCATTTTAGGCTCAGGCCACATGTTACCAAGACAACCGGTGAAGTCAACATCCTATCTGTCACACTGATAGCTGCGCCCTCTGCTAACACAACTCACAAAGGGGCGACTGGGTGCAGAGACCACGAAATGGTACAAGAAAGTCACAGACAGCCCCAAGGCCATGGGCTCCAGCTAACGCCCTTCTGCCCACTGCTGCTGGTGGGAAAAGCTCCAGGCTTGATGCCAGAAAACGCGTGTGTCCAGTGTCACCTCTGCCTCTAGCAAGCTCCTGATTCATTCTGGGCATGGGTTTGCCATCTGTAGGAGGAGGCAGGCGATCTCTGCTGGGCTAGGATCATGCCAGGGGACTTTCAGGGCAGGCTCCCATTTTGCCGGGCCCCATTGCCTCTGCATCCTTCTGGTGGCCCCCAAACCCCCCCCCCCCCCTGTCTGTAGGTCTCCCTGGGCCGGCCGTTCGAAGAGCTCAGCACACACACGAGGAGGTTACCTCTATGGTACGTGGTCTAGAACCAGAATAGCCAGATGGACCTGAGACCTGCACAGCTGCCATCCTCCCACGGCACCTGTCCTGTTGAATGCCCACATGCCTCGCACCTGTCCAAGAGGCTCCCGCCCAGCTCACCTGTCTGGCGCTGGGCCTGCCCACTCCCGCAGGCCTCCCTGTGCTGGGCCAGCGCGCGGAGCACGATGGGCTGGTCGCAGTCCGGGCACAGCTCTGTGCGGCGGCCGCAGTGGTGCTCGTGGATGTCCAGCTTGCTGAGGCGCACGGCTGCCCTGCAGAACTCGCACACGACGGGGCGCTCCTGGCACTCCCTGGTCTGCGGGGAGGCGGGCAGGATGGCAAGGTCACTGGCCTGGAGTGGCTGAGCCCAGCTGGGGACACGGGCCGATTTCCGGAGGGGCCTGAGCAAGTAAGAAAGCCGACGAGATGGGCCAGAGTGGGACCCCTTTGGAGATGTTGAGCCCTCCTGGGCCACGGACCACAGCAAGCCCTCTGACGAGCATCGGGGGACCGGAGGCTGCGTGTCCCCCTGCTGCACAGATTCCCCACTGCTTCCCAAGCCTCCCGGGGGGAGGAGAGAGATCAGGGGAGAGTCCACCACCGGCCCCTCCTCCCCCCTCTCCTCCCAGGGTGGCCGCTCCAGTGAAGGATGGATGACACTTGATTCTCACCTCGTGAAATGCCAGCTCTTGCTTCCCCATGATCTGCTGGCACATGGCGCACCCGACCTGCACAGAGAGAGACACCGGTCCCAGCACCCGCTGGCTTCCCCCACCTCTGCCTCCCACCAGGCGGGGCTCGGTGAGCCCTCAGGCCGGATGGGTGTGCTTGCCTCAGTCCCGGGGGGGGGGGGGCACAGCCCCTGCTCAAGAAGTGTTTGCGGGGTGGGGGTGGGGGGATACTTTGAGTTGAAAGGGATGCCTGAGCCTGAGGATCTCAGACAGACAGAGGAGGGGCCCCAGGAAGGAGTGACATGAAAGAGCAGGAAAGAAAAGCCAGCCTTGGCCCTCACTGCCTTCTAGAGCCTTCCTCTCCAGCTTCTCCTCTTCACAATCTCAAAAGAACACCCAGAAGGGAGGGTGGGGATAAAAGGGAGAGATCAACCAAAGGACACACATATGAGCCTAACCAGTGGTCAAGGACAATAGGGGGGTGAGTGCATGAGTGTGTGTGTGTGGGGGATTGGAATGGGGGGTTGAGGACAAATATGTGATACCTTAATCAATAAAGAAATTAATTAAAAAAAAAAAAAAGAACACCCAGTCTTTCCTACAACGGAGATCCCTTCCCCTGGGCTACACCATAAGCCTGTAGGGAAAGGGGGGGTGGGGCACGGGAACAGCAGGGTAGTCTCAGTTTCCCAGGAGATGGCGGAGTGTCCACTTCACGGGGCCTGAGGCACGCAGGGCCGGCGACTGGCCCTCGGCAGCCAGGCCCGCGGCCGCAGCAAAGGGTCTGGGTCAGCCTCGCCGCGCGGCTCCCAGCTGTGTCCCTCCCGGGGCCGCCTCACCTGCTGGTGCCCGCTCTCGCGGTGCTCATCCATCTTCGCCTGGGGGACGGGCTCCTGACACTCGGGGCACTGGGCCAGGAACACCAGGCAGTGCGCCTCGTGGAGGGCAAAGTGGGCAGAGGCCACCCGTCTTTTGCTGCCGGATGAAGGGGGAGGACGTCAGGCCGATGGCGGGGATAAAGCATGGAGCCCTGCTCCCCACCCAGGGCCGCCGGGTGAAGGAATGTCCAGGCCTCCAACGCTGAACATATGAAGGTGACGTCACTGTCCCCGTGGCCCCACGCTGGTCCCAAATCAGAACATCGCAAAACCGTAAAGTGTAAAGTGAGAGGGCAGGACGGGGTTAACTCCTGACTCCAATTTCTACTGTGGGGCAGGGCGGGGCCAACTCCTGACTCCATCTTGTGCTACATCTTTCATTTTGTATAACCATGTCATTGTGTAACTGGACCTTAGCCCTCACCCAACCAATTGGAGTCAGCCAAATCAGTGACCTCACCACCCCTATAAAGCCTTTGTTCTAGAGTAGGGGTGTCGAACTCAATCAGAGAAGGGGCCAAAATCTAAAATCCAGCCTAAATCTCGGGCCGAATGGTTTACTGAACAGTCATAAACTGTCATTGTGATGGAAACACAGCGAAGTGCAGTGATGACAGCGCAGTGCGGGCCACATTGCAAGGCCTGGCGGGACGAATTTGGCCCGCGGGCCTTGTGTTTGACACATGTGTTCTAGAGAAACCAGCCCTCTTTCTCCACCTGGCTGCTGCGTCGGTCTGTGGGGAGTGAGCTTGGGCTAGCCTGGAATAAAAAGACTCTTTTGCTTTTGCATCGGACTTGGCTCCCTGGTGGTCTTTGGGGATCATGAAATCTGGGCATAACATAAAGGATGCGCTACAGGCTCTTCTACCGCCCGGGGCCAGCGAGGGTGGTGGAAAGGAGCAGGTGGGAGAGATTGCCGAGGGGCCCAGGGAAGTCTTGGGTATGCTCATAGGTTTCCTGTGGTGATGATTTCATGGGCATACACACGTGTCAAACGCATGAAGCAGTGCACTTCACGCATGTACCATAAACACCGTGTATGTTGATTATATCTCTGGAAAGCTGTTTTTAAAAAATGGAGTAGTAAGTGCCACCTTCTTTCAGAGATTTTTGTCTTGTTTTCAAGCGTTCCCCTGCCTGGCCCACAGCAGTTGGGAGCCCAGCCCTGGCACCCCCATGCTTGCTGCAAGGGCAATGGCAGCTTTCAGAATCGCCATGACCCGGCGAGCCGGAGGCGTCCACCTGTCCCCTGCCTGCAGGCTCACTGCGCAAACCCTCTCAGCTTCTGGGCCTCCCCGTTCCTGGGCAGGGGGTTTCGCAAGCCTCCCATGGACCTGGAGTGCCTCCTTTCACGTCCACCAGCCCTTGCTGTGGAGCTTGGGAGGAAGGAGACTCAGTGCCCATGTCCCAAAAGGCCCAAATGCCGGTCAGAGTAGTAGCCCCAAGTCCCTGCCTGTGGGAGGGACTCCCTCCCTTGGTATGCACAAGCTCTGGGCTCTGCACCGCCCAGAGAGATGGCACCAAGGCTGCCTCAACGTCCTTCTCCCCCCTCTGCCTGGCCTGGTCCCTCTCCCCCCTCTGCCTGGCCTGGTCCCTCCCCCTCTGATTTCCCTGCCCTGTTCCCTCAGCTCCTCCTCCTGAGCAGGTTCAGACACCCAAGTGCCAGGAGGGTCTGGCAGGAGCAAAGCTCTCTGGGAAGGTTCCCTGCTGGTTCCTGCTACAGGTGGGCCGCTTGGAGAGTGAGCCCTTCCTGAGTCAGAGGTGCGGGTCTGCACTCTGCTCAGGCTCCTTCTCAAGGGGAGGGGGGCGTGTCTCAGACTGCTCTCAGACTGCTCTCAGACTGCTCTCAGACTGGTCTCAGACTGCTCCTTCTCAAGGGGAGGGGAACATGGTCTCAGACTGGTGTGCAGACCATATGATCAGAACCCCAAATCAGGAGTAGCGCATCAGGGACAACTAGCCTGGCTATTCGGCTCTGGGACGGTCCCAGAAAGTCTGGACTGTCTGGAGGGATGGAGGGCGAGTGTGGCCCAGTGCTGTAAGGTGGTGCTGGCCACTTCCTCACCCCGTTACCCCAGAGAGCTGCTGAGGAAGGGGTAAGCCTTCCTTCCCCGGGGGCCACCCCGCACCTGCCCTCCCTCCCTGGGAGCAGCTTCAAGTTCAACACAGCAAGCCATGTCTCTCCTGCAGAGGAAGGCCCAGCAACTGTTCTCCCAGTCCTTCCTGCAACTGAGACCCCTTCCTTGTCTCCTCATTCCAGAAACACCCATTCTGCCCGCCGGCTCCCTGGGCAGGCTCGGGTGACCGCTGGACACAGCTCCTTACCAGTTCCCGCACACCTGAAAGGCTCCCTCCATGCTCTAGTCTCGGAGTCTTCCTGCTGAGTTTCGTTTCTTGCAGAAACAAAACTGAAAGTGTTCCCACAGCCCCGCCCACAGCTCCGGGGGGAGGGGTTTTCAGAAATCTCAGCCGGGCTGCCCAAGGTTCCTGTGGCTGGACACTCCCCGGCCACCCCTCTCTGCAACCGGCCAGCCCAGCCTGCCCCTGACGCCTCCCCCACCTGTGCCCTCACCCCTGCTGCTGCCACCCGCCGTGTCTACAACCCTGGGGGTGGGAGCCAGAGGCCAGGCCTCCCTGGGCAGCAGCCCTGCCCTGTCCCAGGCCAGCTTCACTGCATCGGGTCTGTCCATCCCTTTCCACCAGCACGGACCTGCCCTGCTCTCTTGCTCTGGTCGCTGGGCCTTCCTCTGCAGGAGAGAGATGGCTTGCTGTGTTGAACTTGAAGCTGCTCCTTGGGAGCAGCTCCTGGACTTCCTGCCCCTCTTTGGTCCTAGTTGGTGACAACTTTGAAAACAGGGCCCGGGAGGAATGGGGGATGCAGGTGGTGAGCACCCAGACGCAGCTGGGTGACTGAGAACAGCAGCCTGCCTCTCCGAGCGACTCCTCATTTGTAAATAGTTGTAGGGAACATCCCTAACGCTCTCACAAGCGCCAGCAGGCGAGAAAGATTCGATTTTCATCACCCCATCTTCCGATTAAGAAACCCCAGCCAGGTGGCCAGTTGGTGAGAGCAGTGGTTGGCAAACTGAGGCTCAAGAGCCACATGCAGCTCTTTGGCTCCTTGAGTGTGGCTCTTCCACAAAATACCACAGCCTGGGCAAGTCTATGTTGAAGAAGTGGTGTTAGAAGAAGTTTAAGTTTTAAAAAATTTGGCTCTCAAAAGAAATTTCGATCGTTGTACTGTTGATATTTGGCTCTGTTGACTAATGAGTTTGCCGACCACTGGGTTAGAGTGTCGTCCCCATACCAGGGGTCTTCAAACTTCTCTCATTATGAGAATCACCTGGTGGAGTTGTTAAAACACAGATTCCCGGATCCCAACTATAAGAAGTGCTATTAGGAATCTGTGTTTTAACACCTCCACCAGGTGATTCTCATAATGAGAGAAGTTTGAAGACCCCTGCCATACACCAAGGTTGTGGGCTTGATCCCTGGTCAGGGCACATACAAGAAACAACCAGTGAATGCATAGTAAGTGGAACAACAAATCAAACCCTTTCTCTCTCTCTTTCACTGTTAAAAAAAAAAAAAAATCTATAAAAGAAAAAGAAACCAGAGCATTGAAGGGTGATGTAACTTACGCATTGCACAGCAATAGGTAGGCAGCAGAGTCAGGCTTGCACCCAGGCAAAGCTCCCTAGGCCTGTCGCTCCTGGAATGGCCTTAAGGCCGGGAGATCTGAGTTGTAATCCCGATGGTGTTGTTAACTGGCAGCTTGCGTCACCTTAGCCTTTGTTTCCTCATCTTTTGGACTCCACTGGGGGCCTGGAGGAGACCAGGCGCTCCCAGAGGTTGTGTGCAAAGTTGCCTTCACATGAGTACGGCTGTGCCTGTTCCCAAGGAGGAGCGCCGTTTGAGCAGACACTCAGGAGTCCACGACCCAGACAGTTACCAACGATGGACCCATTGACTCCGGAGAGGCCAACAAACCAAGTTCTGTTAAAAGCAGCACACGCACCAATGCCTCCCGTGGCTAGAGGACATTTGTCTTGTCTCCTTGTGTTCTTGTCACAGGGAAAGCAGGCTACAACTTGTTAGATTACTGAAAATGGTAAAAACTGTCTATCTAATTGCTCAGGGGATTGAAAAACTTACAAATAATTGCAATTCCACTGGAAGCATTTGGACATTATACACTGAGTGGTCAGATGATTATGATCTCTGAATGCATAACAATCAGGCCACTCAGTGTATATCCTATATAATAAAAGGCTAACATACAAATTGTCCCCTCGACCAGGAGTTTGACCAGCAGGCAGGCCGGCTAACTGCCATGTCCCCTCCCTCTGGCCAGGCTGGCCAGACCCACCCATGCACGAATTCATGCACCAGGCCTTGGAAATAACACACACACACACACACACACACACACACACACACACATATATATATATATATATATATATATATATATATATATAGCCAGATTATTATTTGTTCAGAGATCATAATAATCTGGCCACTCAGTACATATTATATGTTGAAGTTTTTAGAGGGGGTATAATACACATTTCTGTTTCCCAGAACTTTATTCATAAAAAAATATAGCCCAGAAAATTGATTTGTTCCACTTTATTTAATTTTTTTAAGTTTACCTTTATTGTTGAAAGTATTACAGATTGTCCCCCCCCCCCCCCCCCCCCCCGCCATTGACCCCCTTCATCCCACACCCACCCCTCCCAGGCCCTCACCACACTATTGTCTGTGTCCAAGGGCTATTCATATATGCATATAAGTTCCCCAGTTAGTCTCTCCCCACCCACCACCCACCTACACCTTCTCTCTGAGATTCATCAATCTGTTCCATGCTTCCATGTCTCTGGATCTATTTTGTCCATCAGTTTATTTTGTTCATTGGATTCCACATATGATTGAGATCATGTGATACTTGTCTTTCTCTGACTGGTTTATTTCACTTAGGATAATACTCTCCAGGTCCACCCATGATGTCTCAAAGGGTAAGAGATCTTTCTTTCTTATAGCTGCATAGTATTCCATCCTACAAATGTACCATAGCTTTTTTTATCCACTCGTCTACTGATGGACACTTGGGATGTTTCCAGATCTTAGTTATTGTAAATTGCGCTGCTATGAACATAGGGCTGCATATATTCTTTCTGGTTGGTAGTTCAGGTTTCTTAAGATATACTTCTAGAAGTGGGATGACTGGGTCAAATGGCAGTTCCATATTTAGTTCTTTGAGGAAACTCCACACTGTTTCCCATAGTGGCTGCACCATCTGCATTCCCACCAGCAGTGCACAAGGGTTCCCTTTTCTCCTCATCCTCTCCAGCACTTGTCATTTGTTGGATTTGTTGATGGTAGCCATTCTGACAGGTGTGAACTGATACCGCATTGTCATTTTAATTTGCATCTCTCAGATGGTCAGTGACTTTGAGCATTTTCCATATGTCTCTTGGCAAGTCCATCTCTAATTAGCTTCAACATTCATTTTTACTTTTTATAAACTCAATTAAGGCATTAATGTGTCGTTAGAGAATCCTGATTGTGGTTTTGCATATTTACCTAAGCATGTTAATTAACTTCAGCTTTAGCAGGCAGGCGCTGATAAATGCAGAGCAGCTTTTCACTGATGCACGAAGCCCCTCCTGATGTCCTGAGAGTCGGAAATAACAAAAAGAAGCACAGACGGGCAGTGCTTCCTTAAAGCACTTAGCATGGGGCCTGGCCACTTACCTTGGTGCTGGGGTGGGAGGACAGTGGCTTCCATACTTGTCCACACGCTGGAATTGCTTGGGACACTTAAAAAACAACAACACACAAACAACAACAACAACAACAAAACAACCCGGAAGCCTGCACAACCCCAGAGAGTGGGGTTTCACTGGTCCAGCACGTGGCTTGAGTTTTTGAAATGTGCCAGGTGACTCTAACCTGCAGAGAGGAGAAAGCTGGTTCTGAATCCCAGAATCCGGCCCGGGCCTTGGGCCTTGGCTGCTGATTTCCCATGGGAAGAATTAGAGATCGGGCCAGAGGCACTTCTGCAGATTCCGCAAGTGGAGCTGCGTAGAGTGGGGACCGGCACGGGTGCTCATAGAAGAAAGATGGGCTAGGGGAGAGCTGGGGTTAGCGGGTGGATATTCCAGGAGACCCTGAGCTCCCTCCAATCACTACCCTGTCCCTGGATGAGCCATAAGGGATGAAGGGGAGAGAGGCTGGGAGGGTCTAGGATTCATTGAGGACCCAGCTCTCCTAACCTCTGTGGGTGAGCTCATAAGCAAGCCCACCCCAAGCCAAGGCGCAGGCAAGCTCTTCGCCTGGGCTGCCCTGGGTAGCACCAAGAAGAGGGGGATGGTGGCCTGCCAGATGTTTTTCCGGAAAGTGGGAGCAGATGTGGAGGCTGCTTACAGACCCTCCCCCCAACTCACCGACTCACCCACTCAATCCTCTACTCTGGCATACACCCCTCCCCTCACATCCCCCTGGGGCCTCAGAGCTCTCCCAGACCCAGACACAGCTGAGCTAGCAGGTGTTTCGAGATAGTACAAAAAGGCCAACAGACCTGTGGCCTGCACATGGGGCGGGAGCGGCTTTTCAGAGGAGGATAATGGGATGAAGGAAAAGGCCTGTACATCCAGCGACCGGTCAGACTCAAATGTATTCAGGCACTGAGTGAAAGACAGTGTGCGGTGATAATAATGACATTGTCTATGCTCCAGGCATTGTACTAAGCATTTTAGAGGCGTCATAGTTTAAAATCTGCCCAACAGCCCTAGTATAAGAAGTATTAGTGCCTTTTTGCACCTCTGGAAAAGAAGGCACAAGAGAGGTTACTACTTTGCTCAAGGCCACACAGTGAATGTCAGAGCTGAGCTTTGAACCCAGGTGACGTGACTCAGGGTCTATGTCCATCAGCAAGACACCCTCCACTGTGTTTGACAGCGATGGAGGCGTGGGGAATGGCTGGGTTAGCATCCGGACTCCCTGCCTCACCACTGGGACACGTTTCTTAACCCCTTGACCTTTACTTCCCGCTCCTGCCGACCTCTAGGCAGTCTTGTGAATATCAACAATAATGAAAAAAACGGAGCTTTCCCACACGTTGTTTCTGGCTGAGAGTCCCCCAGAAGGGGGTGGGGTGGGTTGAGATGTAAAGAGGGGTGCCAGGGTGAGACATCCTGGAGGACAGGAATCGGTGACGGGGGCTGTAGGCGTGGACTTGGAAATGACCATGAGTTTTTTTCCTCTACATCTCAACTTTCTTTTAAGATGTTTCCTCTTTGCAGAATGCCCCAGCCTGCACCACCCTTCCTTACATAAATTTCGCTGACGTAGGACCTTCCTCCTCTGTCTCTGGTTATGGTTAGTTGATTGTCTGTCTGTTGCCTTGTCTCACTCTCAGCCAACCCCGGGTGCCGGTGATTTGAGAGTCATCACCTTCAGCCACAGGGTCCCGCATGCTGTGTGCCCTGAGGGCAGGGAGGTGCTGTGCTGTGCTGTGCATAGTGGCCCTCAAACACTGGCTGACCTGAACGGAGGTGAAGGATGC